CCGTTTATTTTGAATCGCGCCCCATGCAGACCCGCTAGCCGCATTGGGCGTCGCTACTGCAGGAACCCTTTCGTGAACTTCCGTCATTCGTCGGTTCCGCTTCAACAACAGATTGTCGGCCAGGGCTCCCGTTGTGCGCTCCAGGCCATACGACCGCTCAGAAGCGCCCTGGGCCCCTGAACCATACTATGTACACGCGAACGCCCGTCTCTCCACGCTGCAGTCTCGTGCTACGTTCCCCGAAGCACAGCAGCTCAGCGATCTTTTTTCGCTGCATAGCCACTCTCGTCCTCTGGTCGCCCAGGACCCGCAAAAACACAATCCTCCCCCTTTCCGACGCTGTGGAGCTCAAACTGGTCCAGAACGAAGTCGCTCCACGCTCTCTTCATTTCCCGATCCCGCAGCGGCCGAGCGTTGGTTGTGCACGACCTGCGACGGCCCTGCGTTCTGCATGTAGGCTCCCCCGAGCCCGCTTCCGCTTAACAACCGTCATTTATCGAGATTGTGCCCTTCACCCGTCATATTTGTTCTGCTCCCCTTTTGACATGTGAAACTCATCGCACCTTATGAAACTCATAGCATTGAATGCGCAGAATGTGGTTGCAGTCGTGCATCGCTTTTTGTACGACGACTGTTGAGGCACGAAGGAACAGCCAAATCTGCCTCACCGCCATGAGCATCGCCCTGCGAGACCCCTTCATCACTAGGGAGATTACCCGTCTTTCGCCATCGAAATCGCCATCACAATCGGCTTCTGGTGTTTGATGAGCGCATGGTTACCGGCATAATGTCTAGGCCTTTACTACAGCCTCGTGTATCCGGCTTTGTTGTCGGGAGATTACTCCATGTGATGTCATGTTGGACGACAGTGCACTCGAGTAATTCATCATTAACTTTCAGTCTTGAGTCTACTTGTTAGTGAAAGGGTATATCCTCGTCGCGCACGCACACATCGAGAACGACTCTTTGCGAATCTTGAATCATGGATCGATCGGCATTGGTGTGAACTGTAACCCTAAGCGCCAGAAAGTGGGTTGTACGACAAATGTCACATCTTAGACTTCGTGGCGGGCGACCTTCACCTTTCTATGCGTCCTGGGACCTACGTATTCCTGGGGGAGTTTCTCGTTCTTCCATGTGCGTCCTGTTTCAATGGTAGTACACTCGAGTCGTGCTAATTTCCTTTCCCAGTCTCCCACATACAAATACAGATGCTATATTACAATCTGGGAGCTGGAATTTCTCGATGGTCTCGACCTAGGCTCGATCTTGTCGTTTGAAAAGTAGCGCTTAGAGTATGCGTCGCTTCATCCTTGATTTTCGCACTCGTGGACGATCAACAACTACAGTCATTGGGAATTCCATACCCATTGCGGTTCGAAACAAACGGACGTACACCGCCACCTCGAAATGCAATCAGTGCTGGTAGGCCAGTTTCCAGTACTCCCCAAAACGCGATGTCATGGGATCTTCTGTAGACTGAGGTAGACTGAGATCAGGTTCACACAATCCTAATGGATCTGGGGAATACCAGGTTGATCCTTTACTCGATTGGTCTGGCCGTATGCCTTCTGAGATTCATGCAAAGATTAACCCAATGAAAGACGTTTGTGAATTAAACCTTGAATCGCCTCGAAAACCACGCGCTTGCTCGAAAGATCCAAACAGGGAGGCGTGAGACCCTATATGGCACGGAAGGATTGGGATACCAGGAAACGATACTCGCACGCGTTTAAGAAGGGCTCATTTGAGGGCTAATACGCCATCATTCCCGAAGGCGAAGATGTTCATGTTATCGCGCGGTTTTTGATGTAATGAGTAGAAGTCGACGGCGTTGGTATTGAGTGCCTCGAAGCAGATTTCACGGCTTCAGATGCTGCTGGACTTTCCCTTCTTTGTCGAGACTTTGACTGGGTCAAATCTTAGGCGCCCATGTTCGGCAGAAGCCCAGCCGGGGCTGTAATCGGTTGTACAGCGTCTGCGTAGAAGTCGTGAGATGCCTGGAAAGCGAGCCGATGTCCGCTGGTTATTGGGGGCGACCGTGTTTGAAGGAATAGTGAAAGCCAATTTAGTTGCATCCGGGTTTCTAGTATGAAATGACTGTATTACCTTAGTATGTATCGTCGAGAAAGTATGATGCATGCTCTGGTGATGCAGTGGCTTTTTTGGTGTTGATGACACACGCAAACTCCGTCTTGCGAAGTACAACGCAATTACTTCCTGCTCATCCATGCAAGGCTGAGGCCATGTTCGCAGAGTCTTAAAAGCCGTCAGAAGAAGCTCCAACGCAACAACTGATCTGTTCGGGCTCTTGGGTGTGGTATACACAACTGCCGGATGTTCGAAAGAGGTGGGCTTCCTCGCGAGTCAAACCGCATGCTCTTGTTAGCACCGATGATGATGTCCGCGGACGGATAGTAGAGGGTCCCTCATGACGAAAAAGAAAATATAGCACAGCGAGCCGTGCAGCAGTATATATGCAGCGTGACCTGGGTCACGCCGCACGACGTGGGCTTGCAAGTGTGCGGCAATACAGCATTAGCGATGGAAGCCGACAGAAGCGATCGTGGGGACGGAACGTGGCTGGCCAGGAGCCGGTTGCACCGAGGAAGTACCGATTGACTATGACGCATTGGCCATTCTCCTCTCACGAGACAAATCACCATCGAACAACGAAGACGTACATGCAACACGACATTGACCTGTTACCGACTCGCTGCTCACCCTTCACACCCTCTTGCTACTTTCTTTGATTACATTTACCACCACTCCGCCCAAGCTCTGACGTTGGATCTCGATAAGGGCTCATCCCCAGCCCTGCAGCTCGCGATTCCCTTTGGTCCCTGCGCTGCGTAGCTACGCCCCACTGCCACCCCAACTTCTTAAGGGTCCGATCTCCCTACACAAGCCGCGCCAGCAACATGTCGCACTTCACCAATATGGCCGCCCCGCACACGCTATCTCCCAGGAGTGCCACACCAAACTCTGGGAGCCGAACGATGGAGGTTCGACCGCAGCCCGTATTGCGTCTGTCAGCACCTTCAGGTGTGCTTCGTCTACGCGCAGAGCCATCAGAACGCCGACACATTCAATGGGCCGAAGACGTGGTCGACAACGAAGGCATGGGCAAGAAGTCTTCCAAAGGTACGATGATACGGTTCGCGCGATGCTGTTATGGCAGGGACTAACAAACTTGAAGTTTGCTGCATCTACCACAAACCCCGCGCCGCTGACGAGTCTTCTGACGACGACTCATCAGACTCATCGTCAGACTCAGATTCCGACTCCGAGCCCGACAACAGCACTGCAAGGCCTGCTGGGCGCATGGGTGGAGCACGCGGTAGACGGCCACATCAACATGCTCACGACGATTGTGAGGACGTCCACGATCACGGCGAGGGTTCTAGTACCCCGCAAAAGCACAAGCGCCAACGGAGGAAGCCAAGCCCAAATGCCTACGAGAAGATGCCGAAGCAGAAGAAGTAAGCTGCGCTTTAGCTGGTAAACTCCCGGTGTCCACTGGGCGTTGGTCAGTACGAATTGAAAACGATTTTCATTGCTTGGAGTTACGGGTGTCCACGAGGCACATCATGATTTGGACTGCGTCGTTGCATAGCGCTGGGAAAGGACTTGAATAGTCCGCAAAACGTCGCCTTGTGTGGCTGGACGTGAGACATTAGATGCAGATAAGCATTATCTTGTAGCATTAGAATTGCACATGCGAGGCTGGGAGCCTCAATTCCTACTATACGTCTTCTCATCCTCCTGGTCTCTGATTGGTACAGTCTTCACCGTTCTTCCACGTACACGCTGTTCTGCGGCTTAAACCCAATCGCAGAAGACGTTGGGCTCCGCTGCATGCATCTCCCCTAGCGAGACATCTTTGCTCGCAATGTCTTGCGGATCAAAGTACGAAGACGTGCACGTTTAGTCGATCACGCGTCGATTATCGCCCTTGTCGTCCGCCCTTACTCGTAGAGTTTCCAGCAGCGCGAAAACTCAATCAGAAGTTAACACACGTGTCAGGACCGCTCAGTCCTCCGCAGTAGCTGCATTCGCCTGTTCTATGACCGCGGGAGCGTGTTGTGTAGGAATGCGGACAAGCGTCTGGGGCAACGGTGGCCCATCTTCTGCCTTCTTTTCCGTCTCATCCTCGTCTTTCGGTTTTGGAAGTTTTGCTTTTGCGGATTAGTGCTTGCTGAATGTGTGAGAATGGAGAACATACTTGAAGCCATGTTTATAGCTCTTAGCACATTATGCCAGTTTGAAAGCACAGCTGCGACCGCTGATCAACCGTAACGTTAGTATGATGTTCCTATCGTGCCGGCTGCGAAACCTATCGATCCAGCTTTCTGCGTGCAACGCCTGACATACCTTCTGTTCCATCTGACAATGTCGATAGCTTGTCAGCGAGCATCTGCATCTGGTCTGCAAGCCCTCCGCTTAGCGCTTGCAAGTCCTTCAAGTTGGCTAATTCGGCCTTCTTTTCTGCAATGCGCGCGAGCAACACGGGGGATTGTTGCTGGGACCCGCCCATGGACTGGTTGCGAAGATGCGACGGAAGAGGCCGTGTGAAGTTCGACATCTTTCCAATCTGTCAACTTTAGTTGACGTGGTCAGATTTGTTGTGGGCGAAGTCGAGGTCGGAAACAGTAGGTAGGTGTTTTTGCTTGTGTAGATGCGTCAACAAGAGGAAAGCCTGCCCCGGGTGAACACGTGAAAACTGATGTGTTGCGCTTTTCGGTTTTTCGTCTCGAGAGATGCGTATGCTATCACCATATCAGATGCTGCCCTGTTGCATCGGTGAACGCGTTGGTGCCCCTCTCGTCACGTGGACGCGCCCTTGGCGCTAACCCGTCTGAACTTAGCTTTGTTGCTATGTAAACATGCAATGACGAACACAGAAGGAACACCTACCGACGCCCTAGAGTAGCAACGCCACGACAACTGCGCGACCGTCTACAAAACTATAATTAATCTCGACATACCTATCTGCGCATATGGCGCGTCTCAACGAGCCGCCGATTGCACCCCAGCCGTCGGCGGAATCCATCGAAGCCCTCAAACGACGCTTTTTGAGGCAAAACCGCGAACTCGCGAAGACGAATTCGATCCAATCTATCCGCATCCGCAGCCTCGAAACTGACTGCTCGCGACTTCTTGCCGAGAATTTGGCATTGCGCGAGCAAGTCTTGAATCTCCATAACACGATTGAGTCGCGTCCGGCACTCGACCAATTTGATGTTGTCAAAACACAGCTTGAAGCCAAGCTATCAGAGCTCAGCAGCCTGGTAGCTGGCCTATCGCAAACGAGAAGTGGGTCTGGGAAAGACAGAGGAAGACGGAAAAGCCAGATGACTGCGAAAAGGAAGAGCGGAGAAGAGCGGCAATGGAGGAGTGGACTGGGTCTCCAGGAGGTTGAGAATGCCATGCTGCCTACTATCACGGAAGACAAATATTATCCTCGCAGGACAATGGGGTACGTCTGGAGCGCGTTCCAAGCAGTGACACGTACAGACGCGCATGAAGCTAACTTCTTGTAGTGCAGACGAGCTTCAGCAGACCTTAGAAGACCCAGACAGTCAATCCCCAGACATTGGCCCTCCGCCAGTTGCCCGATTCGAAGACGAAGACCCCATCGGTTTCGACCCCAGCCCCGCGATAGAAGAACAGCGAGAAGAAGCTGCAGACGACGGAGAACCTGCATTATCAGTGAACCTCGAGACGCGTAAGAAGCGACGCGAGAGCGGGCCCAAGCTCAATATACGTCGTGTATCTCTCTTCGAATCACCGGAAGAGACTGAAGAGCCAGTCGCGAAGCCTCTGCGCACTGGGGCCAAGCGGAAGTTCAGCGTGCAAGAGGATGAGGAAGTGAACCAAGCCAAGAGTGATGCTTTCAGGTTCAGCCGCCGGAATGCGCCAGGTGCTTCAGACGTGGAGGCGTCAAATGATGACTCCAGGCCTTCTTCACTAGAACGCCCTCCCGTCCTTTCAGCTAGTAAGTACCCCCAAAGCATTGTTGTACACAAATCTGACTTGGTAGAACCTGTCAATACCGATCCAGTCTTGTCGCCAAAGAAGCAACGCTCTTCAGGCCAAGATAAACCAGAGAAGCCAGACAAACCAGCACCTAAGGCTCGCAGCCGCCCCCGATTGAATATCACGCGCAACGCGACGTCAGAACTCCCGCTTTTACCAATGCCTGAACCTGTGCCTACTGCTGAGATTGTACTTGACTCTCTACCCCCGAAGACACCCGCCGTGGAAGAGACGTTCTCTCCACCATCCACAGAGCCGTCGACACAACGACCAGACAACAAGGATACACCACCACCAGGAAATCTCAACTCGGTAGATCAGACCGGTCAAGCCGGACGACCGGGTAGACGAGCCCGTCCCCAAGTCAGTTACAAAGAGCCCAGTCTCAACGTGAAGATGCGGCGTCCAGACGCCAAGCTGGTAGACGCGGTGATCGACCGCAGGGCCAGTGTAGATACTCAGAATGTACCTTCTACATTGGTCAAGCGTGACGCCGATGGCGAAATCGCGTGGAAGCCAGTATCGACAGTGACGCAACCGAGGGGCGAGGAAGAACCTGAAGCTGGAAGCCCGTTGAGACAGAAGCTTGACCGAAACCAAGATTCTAAAGCATCGCCCGCGTCAATGACTGAGCCAGAAGAACGGTCAACGACCTCGAAAGCCATATCTGCGCTCATTACCGAGACTAGCACTGCTAAGAGAAGAGTCGCTACTACAACTGCAGGACCAGTGTCGGAGCCTCTCGCCGCGAAATCTGCAGATCTTGCTCTCTCAAGCAAAGATACGATAGCTGTGAGACAAGCACCGCCAGAGAAGGACACTTTGGCTGTATTCGACTTCACGGACTCTTCACCTGCTGACACTGGGTCCAACCCACGTGCCCGCGTCAACGAACTTGCCAAAACAGCGAGAAGCGCACGGCGCCACTCCGCTATGCCCACATCTTCCACGTCAACGGTGTCAGACGAGCGCAGAGCTGAAAGGGAGAAGGCGGAGGGCGCGCTCCCTTCTTTGCATAAGCGCACTGGCAGCGGTAATGTGAAAAGTAGTAGTACTACGAGCTTAGCGAGGAGCAATAGTACTAATGATATTGCTAGGAGTACGTCGAGTGCTCGAACGGCAGTGAAAGAAAAGAAGCCTCCCACTATAGGAAGCGTACCGGCGGCCAGTGCTAGCACGAACGACCCCAGGACGAAGGTCGATGGTGTGGAGGACGCAAAAGTACGGGACAGAGAGAGGGAGACGAGCACGCTGAGAGCCGAACGCGCCGCTAGTCGACGGAAAAGTATGATGCTTTAGGGATAAGTGCAGAGTGCAATGTAGACATGGAGGCGTTTTTCTGGTGTATTGGCGTTCTGAGGGGCATGACATGAGCCCTTTCTCCATAGCGGTGGCGTTTCTTTGCGAATGATACCTGATCTCACGAGATCGTCTCTGGTTTAGTGTAATTGGATCGCCTTACGACTATTATGAAGTCTGATGTAACGTTCTATTCTACAATTCTTTACCTCGGTCTTGATGTTAGCATGATCTTTACACATTCATGGTTTACCATTTGCCCATCAGAAGGATTCTCTTGGGTAGTACGTGTGAAATTATGCGTCGACGGCGTATATGACTATACCTATCGCTTTAGTTAGTAAAGTTCTCCTGTTAGCAAGCTACACGCGGACAAGAATGCATGGTGATGATGATGATGTGAATGATGGTATTGTTGTTCGATATATGTCTCTCCCTCCAAACGCGCCTCTTGCCTTCCCTCGACATGACGAAACGAGTGTCCAGTCCCTTTGCCCGAAGCAGTCTCTCTCTGAATGCCACATCTAACGGTCCCTGTCCTCGTACCAATCCTTGCTACCGTTGTTGTTGCTGAAGACCCTCTTGAAGCCCTTGGAGACAGCGTCAGTGACGCTAAAGTCATTGAAGAGCCACTGGTTGCTGTGTCGGCCATAGTACTTAAACTCCTTGGCTTCCTCGCTCTTTGCACTCCTTCCGCTGCCAACACTGCTTTGGGTGTTCCTGCGGCTGCGCTTGTGAACGCGCGACTTGCTGAACTCGCCTGGCGCGACGCCGACACTTTCAGCGTGGGTCTTGGAGCTGGGCTCAGCATGCATGACGCGGAGACCAGAGTACTGCGAGTACTGCGAGTCGTTGGTGCCCGTTGTGGACGTTGTTGCTGATTTGGTGAAACGGGGCATGATGCCGCTGTCAATAGAGGTGGATCGGGGACGTCGCTGGGACAGAACTGAATTGGAGGCGGTATCTCCATTGGTTTTGGTGGTGGAGTTCTTGTTGTTGGATTTGTTCTCGAACGAGACAAGCCTTGAAGTCAAGTCTTGTGCGTCGATGCGTTGGTTGTTGTAGTCAGTCATCGGCAGGAAGGTCGGGGACTGAGTGGTAAAGGTGATGACGTTGGGGTCTTGGTTGATAGTGGAGTGTGTTTGATAGTCTCGAATCTTGTTTGACTTTGATATTGAGGCTACTGGGTTGGAACTGATGCTTGTAGGTGGTGCTACCATCGACTGTGGCAGTGTATGCTAGGGGTATTACTCGAGTATATATGCTTTCTTTCAGAGCACGCCAAGACTATGTCTATCAGCTCAAAATGCAGTCAAGACTTATTCCCGCTCCCAAGCCTCTTGGGTGGAGTCACGGGCTCGACGTAGGGGAAGTCGGCTCGGCACAAACGTTTATCTTGGCCCAACCATAAGCTTCATCCAACGCTAATAACCCACTTTATCCTGCAGTGTTCTCAGTCTCGTTCGGTTAAACGCTACTCTACGCCAAATACGAGAGCACATGACCTCTGACCCTTGCGCGTAACGGTCAGCCTTACGGCTGTATCGGCACGCAACGCGACCGTGCTCTAGCCACAGCAAGCCACACCCAATCCCCGGTTCAGTAGCAACACATTATGCAAGGCCGCGAATGCATGCTCCTGCAGCATGACATCGTTTTCACTAGCCACGGCTGGGCGAGACTCCGATCTTTCCGGCTAGCCATGTAGAGGCCTAGCTGTGGCTCGTGAGCTGTGGCTCGTGAAGAATTCAACTAGCTTCGGCCTTGCGGCCTGAAGAGTTGAGCCGCAAGAGTCGCTCAAGCCACACGAGGCTTCGTTGAAGGGCCCTCAAAGTGGACACTAGCTGGATTGAAATGCTCAGTAGATTAGCCAGGAATTGAACACGTTGCCGGTGTCCCGCGTCATAGCCAACAAGAAGCTGTAGTCTTCGGTGACAGATGGCATCGACGAATGTCAAGAATTGCGAGGGCAGAGCACTTATGCATCTTAAGCGCAAGAAACAACTCTGAATAAAAAGCCCCTAAGCGTTGGGAACGTCTCGAACAGTCGCCGACGATGCGCTATCGGTGGTCAACATCAGGTTCGGACGCGCGTCAGGATGTATGGAAGATGACGTGCAGAAGGAGACAAGGAAAGAGCTTGCTGCTTAAGCTACTTTGTAGACTTGGAAGTGCCATGAGGCGCTAAAGAGTTTTGAGCATACAAAAACAAGAGTAGGAAGCTGCATCTGACTGGTCATGGCTTCAAAGGTTCGCTTGCAAGCCGAAACGCAGCTTCAATCCTTGAAGTTGACATTCGAAGCTAGACTTTCTCTACAGAAGCACAATATCATGACTTGTGTCGTAGTGTAAGAACAACGCCATACGCCGCATCATCGTAATGGGTATATAGATATCAGAAACACCTGCCAGCGCCGCGCATTGTGAATTCAAGCACCAATTCATACACCTGGGACACCTCCCTTGCTCCGAATGCGCCCGCCCTTGACCGAGCCTATTGTGACACCTGCTTCGCCAGTCATCCAACCTGGCATCTTCTCCCCATCTACAATACCCTCTTCAACCAGTTGTCTGATGCCAGCGAAAACGTGCGTTCCTTGAAAAGTGACTCGCACATTCGGTACCCAGCCTTCTTCGCTTTGTATCTCCTCGATATCTTCCGCGGTTCTATCAAGAAGAGACGGACGACCACGACGTGCCTGGTGGGAAGCTTGGACATCGAGGCTCGATGTGTCACCGTCTACTTGCGTCGCAGTGCTGCCATTGACGGGAGACGGGAATGGGTCATCAATGCGAACTTCGACTCGTTCAAGGCCTTGACCATCGTCGGGCTGCGCCGAGCTACCGAACCGGCCAGCAGCTATCTCTTTTCTACGTTTGGCCTCTGAAGACTCTTTGCCGTCCAATGGTCGCTTAGGCCTACCTGGTCCGGTCTTGGGTCCACCGGCGGCACTGCCCTTTTCGCCTGCACTCTTGTCTTGTCCGTCGCCTTTCTGGGTGGTAATGAAATCTAGTGCATTCTGGCTGAAACTATGATCCTGAAAGATGCTCCAACCACCTGCTGCCGCATTGCTCTTGCCGGGACCGCGGTACGTGAGCAGCGCATCGAGTGACTTTGTAGTAAAGTTTGTGCTTGTCAACTGGTAACGCGCAGAAGGTCTCGAGAAGGCTTTCGGTATTGCTTGTTGTACGATGTCCCTCAGATGCCGCCCCTCATCCCCGACGACCTGGCCGGTGAGCGTTGCTAGCGAAGAATATACAAAAGGCGAGCCATTTGGCCAGACGAAGAATACGGCTTTCGCACTGTCCGTGCTACTGGACTCTACGGTCAGCGATGCCTCGTTGCTGTAGGGCGAATCGTGTATGTAGACGCGTAGTATGGTCATGGGCGATGTTTTTATCCGTGTCATCAGGTAATGCGCCTTCATTAGTGGCGTCAGTTCTCTCGCGAGATTTGACATGAAGGTTTGCGCCTGGAAGCGTGGGAGGTGGTCTGAATCGTTTGTGACTTCCATGTCCGTTACTGGTGATCGCGCATTCGGTATTTTGGTAAGACGCTTGGCTGTCCAGCGCAAGGCATTTGGATGGTCGAGGAGGTACTGGATCTCAGCCGTTGCCAGCTGGTACATGGATATGCCGTGTCGCCAGTCTCCCTCGAGTATGCGGTCGAGCACCTCCCTCCTGCCACCTTTGCGCGCGGCAAGCTGCTTGTACGTCTCTTGGAGCACCTCATAGCTTTGCGCCGGCTCGTATATCTCCTCCTCATCCTCATCCTGTATTTGATCGCTGAGGAGGTATGGCTTGCAGAAATCGCGGTTCTTCTTGCTGAGCCATTGCAGCGCGAGCGATACGAGGGACTGGCGGGAGAGCTTGGTGAAGGTTCGCTGGACTTCGCGGTGGTTTACGGGCAGACGGTGGGAGTGGGGGATATTCTTGTAGTCGGGGGCGGTAGCCATTACGTCGATGCGCTTTTGGTCTACATGGAGGGGTTGCTGGACGTTGTTGATCGGACGATGTTATCGATAGTGCAGTCGCGACGCGTCGAGGAGGAACGTGGGACACCACGTGACATGGCCTCCCCACCTGGCCATCGCACTCAGCCTTGAAGGTACCACGTAGCGGCAGACATGTGCTCTTAAGCCACGAATCGCCTCGAAACTTTTGAATGTGAACACTCCTGATCTGGTGTCTTTGATTTTGGCCCTTGTGCGGCTAGGCACAATGATTGTTCCCCTTCCTAGGTAGTCTCGAGACCTACTATGGTGCTGGTCCGTCATAGATGACCATATAGTATTACCAATGTTGATACACGTGAAGCTGACCCAGAGAGGCCTGCAAGATCAATTCAAGACTGTGTCTCGTTGACAGCCATACGTACTCCTACAGTCACATACAGCTGTATCATGGCTAGGAATCTTTTACCACATTCGCAAGACTCAAGTGAGGATTGATTACTTATTTCTTGCCGAAGATAGCATGTAAATGCCGCATGGAAAGTGCCGCCTCTCAAGTCTGGGATCCACCTAGATCGCCGGTCCAGTTTCGGACAAAGATGCTCGAACACGATTGGCTGTCGGCGAGTTGAACGTCTTGATTACAAACAGTCAGTGTTCAGGTGCCGTGAGCAGAGTCCTATATGCTGACGGTGAGAGCGGTCATGAGAGAAGCATCGCTTCATCAAAGTTCAACGTTCTCGGTCTAAGCAGTTACCCACAATTGCCTTTACATTCAAAGTTTCGAATTTGAAGGCAACAGTCGTTTGTAAGTCCAACCGCACGTGGGGTGAGGCTCGGCGTAAACGCGGCCTGGGGTTATGGTCGCTAATACCAAGTAGTCAGCTACCGCGGGGCTCCCATTGATCGAGAACGCCCTACTCACTTTGACGTTCATCCACGTCACGACACCCGCACACATCCCTCTTGCTTTTTGTACTCTCTGAACGGCTCGCGCAAGAGAACGTCTACACCAATTCAGCAAACTACCCGACGACGCCGCAGCAA